GGGATGGCATTTCCAGGGTGGAGAGAGCGTTGGTGTAGCCGGAGTAGTCTGCGCCGAGCATGATTCTGCAGGCACTTTTCTGTACCTTCTCTAGCTGACGTTGTTGGGTAGAGTTGAGAGAAGACGACCAGGCTGGTGACGCATACGTTAGTTTGGGAGAATAAAGGCGTTGTAGATAGTCCTCAGCTCTGGCGGTGGTGCCCCAAGTGACCTGACTCGTCGTAGCATGTAGAGTCGGTACGAGACTGCCTTGATTGTGTTGTTTACAGCGTGTGTGTCAGTTCTCCTTTAACCAGACCAACACTCTGGTTCACCTCCGTTATCTGCAGGTGGCAATACCATTTAAAGCCTTAATGGATGCTCTCGGTAGACTGACTGACCACATGATGCCTACAATAACATCACTCAATACAGTCCATCAGGTAATACGATGACCTGACCTGACCTAACCTAACTGCTCTAGGTAACGTAAGTGAGTATAATCACTTGAAATAAACTTGGGAGCTAATCTTCAGGTGATGTAAATTTTCTTAAGAACAAATTTCCCAGTAGGTAATACAAATGAGCCATTGATCTTTCTAATAGTTGGACCTGACTCGAGTGAAGCCATTACGCCGCCATCTTACTTCACCCAAAATAAACACTGAAACTAATCCTTCTGTTAATCTTTTAATCTTGGTCTTATATACGACTCAGAGAAGCAATTTATTTAACAAATTTACTGCACTACCACTTACTTGTGTTAATTATCTGGTAAGACATGCAGATAATATTCATTCTATTTCGTTAATATTTAAAGTTTTGTGATGCAATGATAATATTGACTTAGAGATTAAATATTGTTACACTTAATTGATGAAATCGTTTGGTGCTTAAGTGAGATTAGTTTACCAGACAGAACTTCCTGAAACACTCAACCAATGAACGTTGAGATTCCTGTCCAGCTTTAACAGGGATTGGTCGGCTGATTGGTTCATGTACACAACACGTAAACACTAATTTGTGGAGGATCTTGTTCAGGACTCGTATCATTCCATTGTTTATTGTTGGACGTATGTCGTGAGGCAAACTTTAATGAGTTGCAGTTGTAATTTTTTGTCATTGGTTTGTTATAAATTAGCGTAACGTTGCACCAACTGTGTGACTACTAGCATGTGTGATTATTAATAGTGTTTGATGGTGAGGTGTGATGTTGTGTATAATGAGATAAGGTGTAGTGTATGGTGAATGATGGTGATATGCGGTATATATTTCGATAATGAAGACTGATTAGTTGTATGTGATCCTGGTGGTGACATATTGTTCATAGATGGTGAAGGAACAATAAATAGTATCTGTGTGGTGATAGTGAGGTATGGTATAGCCTCTGATAATGACGTATGATTGTCTATGGTGAAGAATATTTACTATTAAACAGATCATGTGAATTATGATATAGCGTTTCTAGTCATTAACTTGTTTACATCTTAACTACACACTCCCTGTCAACTATAGTTTCCAGACCCCCAATAAAGATAATAACACGTATATATAAATCGGTAACAGAGACATTATAGAGGGATTTAATTATAGGAAACTAATTATATTATCCACGAAACAAAGGTTTATATATCAGATGTGGATAACAACATTGAATTAGTTTAACCCTTGTGTTTTATCAGTAAACAGAGGGGTTGAGAAGAATATAAGAGAGGTAGAGAAGAGGGAGAGAATAAACCAGAGAAAAGAGAAAATACAGAAAACAGGGGAGAATATAATAATAGAGAGAGTAGAGAAAGTGAGAGTTCTTGTTGATGTACTGGAAGGTTTAAAATTTAATTAGTACTCACAAATTGCTTCTCCCTTCCTCCCTTCACTAGTGTTCTCTCTCTCTCTCTCTCTCTCTTTTCCCCCCTTCTCCTCCATCACCTTCCCCCCTCCTCTCCCCCCCTCCTCTCCCCCCTCCTCAACCCTTAAGACAAGGTATTACTCAAGAAAACTTTGGAAACTTAATTGATTCTTATTACTGTTCTCGTGATATCCTTAGAGACCCCACACACTGATCAAGAGCATCAAGCTAATGTCTTACTGTGGAATTTGTTCCTTATAAGGTCACTATGAGGATCTCCAGCTAATGAACTTTATACTTGGGTTGGGTGTTTTATGAGTGAGTTAGTCCATACGTTCGACCCTGTGTAGTGACACCTTCACATAACGGACTTCTCTCTCCATATAACGGATTTCTCTCTCCATATAACGGATTTCTCTCTCTCCATATAACGGATTTCTCTCTCTCCATATAACGGACTTCTATCTCTCCATATAACGAACTTCTCTCTCTCCATATAACGGACTTCTCTCTCCATATAACGAATTTCTCTCTCCATATAACGGATTTCTCTCTCTCCATATAACGGACTTCTCTCCCTCCATATAACGGATTTATTTCTCCTTATAATCTGCTAGGTCAGGAGTTTCACATCTAATGGACCCTCGATATAACGGATTTTCCTCTCCATGTAGTCCGTTAAATAGAGGTTTCACCGTATCTACATTTACTTGATTAACTAAAAACTCTTTCGTGACACTTAATATTTTATATGAAACAACGACTTAAGCTGTTGGTTAAAAATAATGTAACTTGTACTTTGATTTTTTTCAATGGCTAGAAAATTTCCTTCAAAAACAAGAGTAAAATAAGAAATAAGTAAAAAATATCCAAAACTGATTCACTTTTCTTGTTTCGCTTTTTTTTCTTTTTTGCAGCAATTAAAGCAAATTACTTTTTGTTTGATTTGTTTCGCTTTTTTTTTTTTTTCCATTTTTCGTTGAGTTTGTTTTATAGGAGTAATATTTTAGGAGAGATTTTTTTTTATTATTATTTCTAAGATTTATATAAACAATTGAAATATAATTCACTTTTTCTGTGTTTTATTTTTTAGTAATTAATGTCCGTCTGTTCTCCATCTTCGTGTATATGTGTGTGTCATTTCTCTCTCTCTCTCTCTCTCTCTCTCTCTCTCTCTCTTCTCCTCGCATTATTCACCCTCCTTATAATTTCCATCTCTTATAATTTTTACTGTTTATGCTTCATAGCCTATATGTAATCATTTATGGCTCACTTATTACACCTGTTATAATGTTTATGGTTCACTTATTACACCTGTTATAATGTTTATGGCTGACTTATTACACCTGTATCAATGTTTATGGCTCACTTATTACACCTGATATAATGTTTATGGCTCACTTATTACACCTGATATAATGTTTATGGCTCACTTATTACACCTGTTATAATGTTTATGGCTCACTTATTACACCTGTTATAATGTTTATGGCTCACTTATTACACCTGTTATAATGTTTATGGCTCACTTATTACACCTGTTATAATGTTTATGGCTCACTTATTACACCTGTTATAATATTTGTCATTTTTTAGTTATTACATAAAATGGGAACAGAAATTACCATTATTAAATAGACGTTGAGATTAAGTCAATTAAGTCAGCTTATAGAATTTTAAAAGCCTTAATCTCTTAATCCTTGTTTATATTCTTATTTGATAGGTATAAACTCTCCTGTACAATACTATACTGGTGGTTTAACCTTCAATAAATCCTAATGTGTGGTTGGGTTAGGTTAATTTACACCATGGTATTGCTGAGAGGCGATGGATCTATAACATGTCTCAACACGCGCACACCCACACACATTCTCTCTCTCTCTCTCTCTCTCTTTCTCTTTCTCTCTCTCTCTCTCTCTGTATCTTGCAGTTCTGTCTCCTTGAACACTGTGTGACCTTTGCTTATGTTAGTATCGGTAAGAGTGATAACAATACACTTATTAATTCATTATATATTAGGTGTTCTGTTCTTATAATTACATATTCTATAAATAAAAATTAAATCGTTTTTTTAATGTTAGACAACACAAAAATAGGATCCGTAGATTTTTTTTTTTTAAATTTTCAGAAGGCAACTACCAGTACGTTTTCTATAATGAGACCGATTCAATGGTAAGCTTAAACAGAGAGAGAATCACAATGAAGCGTTCTAATGGATTTCAAAAGACAAAAGACGTGTTATTTGTTCAAGTCAGTTACGGAGTATGAGAGGGGGAACTATTATAGTCTGAAGGTGAGGTGAGTTAGATGAACGTTCTGAGTCCCTTGAGATACTTTGAGTTAGCTTAAAGGGAAATACTTCTTTGCTTTGGATATAGAGACGAGAGATTCCATGTAAGTCTGTTCGATATTCATTTTAACAAAGAGACGAAATCAAATACCAGGAAGCTAGATTTATTTAGCTTTAGGTACAATTACATTTAGATACCCATTAACGTGAATCAGTGTGAATAGCCTTTAGATTATTACTAATTATATCCAGATAATATAATTAATCTTCCACATTGTATCAATCTTATCTGGGAGGTTTTACATTTACTTATCCAATTAAATTAAAAAAAACTAAAAACTACACTAAAAAAACTTATTATAGTTGAGACTCCAATTAAAACTTACCTTAAGGTGTATTAAACTGACTTCCGCTAGAGTCATCGTATCAACCAAAGCTTATGAGACACCAGCCCACAACTACAGCCCTGAACTAACTCTTTACCTTTTACTTAATGTTCAAAGTTTTAATGAGATCTAGTGAATATATTATGTGACAATCATTAGCAAATACCAAAAAAAAAGAAAAAAAAAAGAAACTGAATAAGAGAATTGTCTTCGGCTGAACTTCTTGCGCGTATAATTTATGTCTTGAACGTATAATCGGCTTCACTATGGGAGAAGACCAGCTGTAGGAGCACCACCGTGGGAGGAGACCAGCTGTAGGAGCACCACCGTGGGAGGAGACCAGCTGTAGGAGCACCACCGTGGGAGGAGACCAGCTGTAGGAGCACCACCGTGGGAGGAGACCAGCTGTAGGAGCACCGTGGGAGGAGACCGTGGAGAGGAGACCAGCTGTCAGAGGAGACCAGGAGCACCACCACCAGCTGTAGGGGGAGGGAGACCAGCTGTAAGAGCATCACCGTGGGAGGAGACCAGCTGTAGGAGCACCACCGTGAGAGGAGACCAGCTGTAGGAGCACCACCGTGGGAGGAGACCAGATGTAAGAGCACCACCGTGGGAGGAGACCAGCTGTAGGAGCACCACCGTGGGAGGAGACCAGCTGTAGGAGCACCACCGTGGGAGGAGACCAGATGTAAGAGCACCACCGGGGGAGGAGACCAGCTGTAGGAGCACCACAGTGGGAGGAGACCAGCTGTAGGAGCACCACCGTCAGAGGAGACCAGCTGTAGGAGCATCACCGGGGGAGGAGACCAGCTGTAGGCAGGTGTTGGACGGTCGTCACTACACCGCCTAGATGGCCTCCCTCAATCAGCCTCAACACAAACTATAAAAAAATTTGTTTATTACACTCTCTTTATTCTGTTATTTACTTTGTCCTTTATGTAATTTCCTCGAATTTATGCTGGCTTTACCTCTCTCTCTCTCTCTCTCTCTCTCTCTCTCTCTCTCTCTCTCTCTCTCTCTCTCTCTCTCTCTCTCTCTCTGTATATATGAACTTCCAACTTTGTTCAGTAAAACTCGTATAAATAAGACTTTACCTCCGCTTCGCCTCCATAAGATCGTCTGTCTCAAACAATTCACTGGTGTTTTAGAGACGACTAACTCATAGACACATCTTGTCCAAGTTTCCTCGTCCAGTTCACAGATGTTCAGTTGTTTTTTGGGGGGTGAGAGTTAAAACAACCTCATCAATTTACTACCAACTTTAAACTAAACCAGAAAAATATAGTTCATCTCCCAACAGCTCCAGGAAATCATAGGACAACAACTTATTACCAGGAATAAAGTTTGTTATTAATTAATTTATTGATTGACTGATAATAGAACACAATAAACGAGCCTTTATTTGCTTAATGTTTTTAATCATCATACACACACACACACACACACACACACACACACACACACACTCACACTCATCCCAAACACCTAAAAAAGGATAAATTATGAACGGAATGTAAATATATTAGTGAAGGGAACCATAGGAGGAGAGACATTAATAATAATAGTTGATACGTGTAAGACGGTGGTGATGGAGGCAGCTGAGGTGACTATCCCGGTGCTAAGGTTGTGAAGGATCATTAAGGTGAGCGTATATTGCCAGGTAAAGTGAGGGAGGCAGTTGAGGAGAGGCGAGCCACTTTATGGTCTGGTTATAAGACACAAGGAAGGGAGAACAAATGCATATGATTACATTCTCTTCTGCTGAATAATATATACAGGTATTGCTTTACTTCCATTACTCCTGTACCTGAGTCTTCACACACCTGGATGAGCTCTCAGATAATTACAGTTTACTCACAGTTCTTGTAGAGTGCAAGATAAACATTAACAAACACTCTTGTTAAACGTGTAGTGTGAAGTGACGTAGAGTGTGTTGTGTTGTGAGACACACAGTGTGGAGGAGGTGACACCTGACACATAGTGTGGAGGGGTGAGGAACAGACACAGTCTAGTGTTGTGAGAGACAGACACATAGTGTGGAGGAGGTGAAACCTGACACATAGTCTAGTGTTGTGAAAGACAGACACACAGTGTGGAGGAGGTGACACCTGACACATAGTGTGGAGGAGGTGACACCTGACACATAGTCTAGTGTTGTGAGAGACAGACACATAGTGTGGAGGAGGTGACACCTGACACATATTGTAGTGATGTGAGAGACAGACACATAGTGTGGAGGAGGTGACACCTGACACATATTCTTGTGTTGTGAGGAGCAGACACACAGTGTGGAGGAGGTGACATCTGACACATAGTGTAGTGTTGTGAGAGACAGACACACAGTGTGGAGGAGGTGACACCTGACACATAGTGTAGTGTTGTGAGAGACAGACACACAGTGTGGAGGAGGTGACATCTGACACATAGTGTAGTGTTGTGAGAGACAGACACATAGTGTGGAGGAGGTGACACCTGACACATACTGTAGTATTGTGAGAGACAGACACATAGTGTGGAGGAGGTGACACCTGACACATACTGTAGTATTGTGAGAGACAGACACATAGTGTGGAGGAGGTGACACCTAACACATAGTGTAGTGTTGTGAGAGACAGACACATTGTGTGGAGGAGGTGACACCTGACACATAGTGTAGTGTTGTGAGAGGCAGACACAGTGCGTGGAGGAGGTGACACCTGACACACATTCTTGTAAGAAACATTTTTTTTAAACGGGGATTAGCACATCCAGGCACAGGTCATCGCCTTCTAGGGGGAGAAAAAAAAAGAAAAAAAAAGAAAAGAAAAATATAAAAGGAAAAGGTTATATTAATCTACACCGCGAAGATGAGTGTGGAAACACAAAAGAAGGCAGAGCATTCCATTCATGTTTTAATACACAATTCCAGAAAGGTTTTATCTTTAAACGTATATATAAGTAATTTATACATATAGCATGAATCACCTGCACCAGAACCATCACTACTGCCACATTTTATGAAGCACGAATATAAAACTGCGGTGAACAAACTATTTACCTGTGGTTTAATGTACAAAGTTTTAATTAAATGTCATGAATATATTATGTGGCAAATATTTATAGAAAAATATAGTGGATTAAAGGTGTACATGAGTACGGTGTATGTACATGTGTACAGTAGTAAGACGGTGTGTGTACATGTGTACAGTAGTAAGACGGTGTGTGTACATGTGTACAGTAGTAAGACGGTGTGTGTACATGTGTACAGTAGTAAGACGGTGTGTGTACATGAGTACAGCAGTAGACGGTGTGTGTACATGTGTACAGTAGTAAGACAGTGTTAATGTGGTGTGTGCAGTGTGTGTACATGTGTACACGTGGTAAGACGGGTGTGTACATGTGTACAGTAGTAAGACGTGTGTGTACATGTGTGACAGTGTGTAAGACGGTGTGTCTACATGTGTACTGTAGTAAGACTTTGTGTGTACATGGGTACAGTAGTAAGACGGTGTGTGTACATGTGTACAGTAGTAAGACGGTGTGTGTACATGTGTACAGAAGTAAGACGGTGTGTGTGTACATGTGTACAGTAGAAAGACGGTGTGTGTACATGTGTACAGTAGAAAGACGGTGTGTGTACATGTGTACAGTAGGAAGACTTTGTGTGTACATGTGTACAGTAGTAAGACTTGGTGTGTGTACATGTGTACAGCAGTAGGACGGTGTGTGTACATGTGTACAGTAGTAAGACGGTGTGTGTACATGTGTACAGTAGTAAGACGGTGTGTGTACATGTGTACAGTAGTAAGACGATGTGTGAACTTGTGTACAGTAGTAAGAAGGTGTGTGTACATGTGTACAGCAGTAGGACGGTGTGTGTACATGTGTACAGCAGTAGGACGGTGTGTGTACATGTGTACAGTAGTAAGACGGTGTGTGTACATGTGTACAGTCGTAACACGGTGTGTGTACAGGTGTACAGTAGTAATACGCTGTGTGTACATGAGTAGAGTAGTAAGACGGTGTGTGTATATGTGTACAGTAATAAGACGGTGTATGTACGTTTGTACAGTAGTAAGATGGTGTGTGTACATGTGTACAGTAGTAAGACAATGTGTGTACATGTGTACAGTAGTAAGACGGAGTGTGTACGTTTGTACAGAAGTAAGATGGTGTGTGTACATGTGTACAGTAGTAAGATGGTGTGTGTACATGTGTACAGTAGTAAGATGGTGTGTGTACATGTGTACAGTAGTAAGATGGTGTGTGTACAAGGGTACAGTAGTAAGACGGTGTGTGTACATGTGTACAGTAGTAAGATGGTGTGTGTACGTTTGTACAGTAGTAAGATGGTGTGTGTACGTTTGTACAGTAGTAAGACAGTGTGTGTACATGTGTACAGTAGTAAGACGGTGTGTGTACATGTGTACAGTAGTAAGATGGTGTGTGTACATGTGTACAGTAGTAAGATGGTGTGTGTACGTTTGTACAGTAGTAAGATGGTGTGTGTACATGTGTACAGTAGTAAGACAGTGTGTGTACATGTGTACAGTAGTAAGATGGTGTGTGTACATGTGTACAATAGTAAGACGGTGTGTGTACATGTGTACAGTAGTAAGACGGTGTGTGTACATGTGTACAGCAGTAGGACGGTGTGTGTACATGTGTACAGTAGAAAGACGGTGTGTGTACATGTGTACAGTAGTAAGACGGTGTGTGTACATGAGTACAGTAGTAAGACGGTGTGTGTACATGTGAACAGCAGTAGGACGGTGTGTGTACATGTGTACAGTAGAAAGACGGTGTGTGTACATGTGTACAGTAGTAAGACGGTGTGTGTACATGAGTACAGTAGTAAGACGGTGTGTGTACATGTGTACAGCAGTAGGACGGTGTGTGTACATGTGTACAGTAGAAAGACGGTGTGTGTACATGTTTACAGTAGTAAGACGGTGTGTGTACATGAGTACAGTAGTAAGACGGTGTGTGTACATGTGTACAGCAGTAAGACGGTGTGTACATGTGTACAGTAGTAAGACGGTGTGTGTACATGTGTACAGCAGTAAGACGGTGTGTGTAATACGTGTGCAGTAGTAAGACGGTGTGTGTACATGTACAGAAGACGTGTGTGTACATGTGTACAGTAGTAAGACGATGTGTGTACATGTGTAAAATGGTAGTAAGATACGTGGTGTACATGTGTACAGTAGTAAGACGATGTGTGTACATGTGTACTGTAGCAAGACGTGTGTACATGTGTACAGTAGTAAGACTATGTACATGCGTACTGTAGTAAGACGATGTGTGTACATGTGTACAGTAGTAAGACGATGTGTGTACATGTGTACTGTAGTAAGACGTGTGTGTACATGTGCACAGTAGTAAGACGATGTGTGTACATGTACTGTAGTAGACGTGTGTACATGGTGTACGTAGTAAGACGATGTGTGTATACGTGTACTGTGTGTACATGTGTACAGTAGTAAGACGGTGTGTACATAAAATAAAAGACGGTGTGTACATGTGTGCAGTAAGACGGTGTGTGTACATGTGTACTGTAGTAAGACGTGTGTACATGTACAGTAGTAAGACGGTACATGTGTGCAGTAGTAAGACGGTGTACATGTGTACAGTAGTAAGACGGTGTGTGTACATGTACTGTAGTAAGACGTGTGTACATGTGTACAGTAGTAAGACGATGTGTGTACATGTGTACTGTAGTAAGACGGTGTGTGTACATGTGTACAGTAGTAAGACGATGTGTGTACATGTGTACTCGTAGTAAGATCGCAGGTGGGTACATGTGTACAGTAGTAAGACGATGTGTGTACATGTGTACTGTAGTAAGACGTGTGTGTACATGCACAGTAGTAAGACGATGTGTAAAAGACAAAATGTAGTAAGACGGTATATGTACAGTAGTAAGACGTGTGTACATGTGTAATGGTAGTAGATGTGTACATGTGTACAGTAGTAAGACGATGTGTGTACATGTGTACTGTAGTAAGACGGTGTGTGTACATGTATAGGAAAAGATTTGTGTGTGTACATGTGTACAGTAGTAAGATTTGTGTGTACATGTACAGTAGTAAGATTTGGTGTGTGTACATGTACAATAGTAAAACGGTGTGTGTACATGTGTACAGTAGTAAGATTTGTGTGTGTACATGTGTACAGTAGTGAAGACGGTGTGTGTACATGTGTACTGTAGTAAGATTGCACATGTGTGCAGTAGTAAGACGGTGTGTAACATGTGCAGTAGTAAGACGGTGTGTGTACATGTGTACGTAGTAAGACGTGTGTGTACATGTGTACAGTAGTAAGAGCCCAGTGTGTGTATGTACTGTAGTAAGACGGTGTGTGTACATGTGTACTGTAGTAAGACGTGTGTGTGTACATGTGTACAGTAGTAAGACGGTGTGTGTACATGTGTACAGTAGTAAGACGTGTGTGTACATGTGTACAGTAGTAAGACGATGTGTGTACATGTGTACTGGGTAGTAAGACGGTGTGTGTACATGTGTACAGTAGTAAGACGGTGTGTGTGTGTACATGTGTACAGTAGTAAGACGGTGTGTGTACATGGAAGACGGTGTGTGTACATGTGTGCAATAATAGTAAAACGGTGTGTACATGTGTACAGTAGTAAGACGGTGTGTGTACATGTGTACAGTAGTAAGACGGTGTGTGTACATGTGTACAGTAGTAAGACGGTGTGTGTACATGTGTACAGTAGTAAGACGGTGTGTGTACATGTGTACAGCAGTAAGACGGTGTTTGTACATGAGTACAGTAGTAAGACGGTGTGTGTACATGTGTACAGTAGTAAGACGGTGTGTGTACATGTGTACAGTAGTAAGACGGTGTGTGTGTACATGTGTACAGTAGTAGGACGGTGTGTGTACATGTGAACAGTAGTAAGACGGTGTGTGTACATGTGTACAGTAGTAAGACGGTGTGTGTACATGTGTACAGTAGTAAGACGGTGTGTGTACATGTGTACAGTAGTAAGACGGTGTGTGTACATGTGTACAGTAGTAAGACGGTGTGTGTACATGTGTACAGCAGTAAGACGGTGTTTGTACATGAGTACAGTAGTAAGACGGTGTGTGTACATGTGTACAGTAGTAAGACGGAGTGTGTACATGTGTACAGTAGTAAGACGGTGTGTGTACATGTGTACAGTAGTAAGACGGAGTGTGTACATGTGAACAGTAGTAAGACGGTGTGTGTACATGTGTACAGTAGTAAGACGGTGTGTGGTGTGTGTACATGTGTACAGTAGTAAGACGGTGTGTGTACATGTGTACAGTAGTAAGACGGTGTGTGTACATGTGTACAGTAGTAAGACGGTGTGTGTACATGTGTACAGTAGTAAGACGGTGTGTGTACATGTGTACAGTAGTAAGACGGTGTGTGTACATGTGTACAGTAGTAAGACGGTGTGTGTACATGTGTACAGTAGTAAGACGGTGTGTGTACATGTGTACAGTAGTAAGACGGTGTGTGTACATGTATTACAGTAGTAAGACGGTGTGTGTACATGTGTACAGTAGTAAGACGGTGTGTGTACATGTGTACAGTAGAGAGACGTTTTATATGTGCACGTGTGTGTTTTGTGTGTGTTTGTGTGTGTGCACACACACAAACAGGGTGGCAGCATTATGTTGGTGTTAAGGTGCAAGCACTGCTTGCTTCCTCTCGCTTTCAGTTACTGCCGCTGGCTAACCTTCGTGGCGAACAAGGAAGCAATGTGTATAAGTCTTCCCCTGCCAGTACACAGCCTCTTCACCATCAAGACTCTTGCTGTGCCTCCTCGAGGCAACACACGGTAACTGGGTTCCTAATGGGCACAGGCTAGACCAGAAGGGTATCTTGGAGCAGCAGTGGGCCCCAGAAGGAAGGCACAGTGGGGAGGTTGTACCACATAATGTTTACTGGAAATTATAGTGTGTTAGTGAGTGTGGTGATGTTGCACCACATAATGTTTACTGGAAGTTAGAGTGAGTTAGGGAGTGTGGTGATGGTGTATTAAATAATGTTTCCTAGTGGTTAAAGTGAGTTAGTCATTGATATTCCCGAACTCTCGCAAACACAAGAAATTTATATTATAGCAAGAAAATGAAAAGCAAGAACTTCCGTGTATCATTTCCTAGACATGTAAAGACTGTTATTTATTATTTGATTAATCTTCACAACCAATCTACACGACATAAAATATACAACACTGACTTGAAGTAATAATGACGCTTGCTTAAACCACATACGTTTGAGATAAAGTAAAAGTTTATATCTAGGAGCCAAACACCCATAGTTGTACAATAATTACATTATCTTGTCTACCAACAATATGTTATATATACACATGTGGGTAGGAGAAAAGTTTCACATTAACTGTAGTGTTGATGACTACTGTTATAAAGTGTGATCTTGGAATTTAAACATTAGTGTCAGCCAGGTCGCCACTAATGATGATTCACTGGTTCACACAGCCCCGCCTCAGTCCCATGTATCCCACTTGGGGCTTCTCAACTTTCTTCAGATGTTTCTTGATATATTCGATAATTTCTGGAGCTCCATGACCCACCTTCGGCCTCTCACAATCTCCACCGAAGTAAGCATGAACTTTAGCTGGCACAAGACGCTCATCACTAGTTTGTGGATCAACCATCTCCTCACACATTCCTCTGAACACAGATATTACATGTTGCATTACGTCCTCTTCTTGCCACTCGACTCCCTCCACTCGTTTCTTTTCCAGTTGTCTCAAGAAGGAATTTTTGAAGCAGAATCCTTCAGGTGTCGGGATCTTCCAATAGCGGATGTCCCACCAACTAAACTGCTTCTTCAAGTCTTTGGGCATCCAGGGCTCAGCCTTCATGCAGGAGAGTAGAGCTTTGCCAGTGAGAAACACTTGCCGTTCCTGGTGATCCAACTGCTTCAGCATCTTCACCTCGGAGGCAGCGAAGCTGCACCTCCATAAATTGTCTGTGGTGTTGCTGAGGTGCATCATTTGTGAGTTGACAGGTGTGAGAAGAGGTCTCGGTATCTCCTCGGGCCAAGGTATAACTACTATTGGCACTAAGTCAATACCAATCAGCAATAGGGGATACTGACTTCCCTGCCAAGCCAGTGACAGTGCCACGCCCACCTGCGTCCTTGTCAGGCCAGGTGGCACGATGCTCACCTTCTTATCTCTCAGGGTGTAGGTACTGAGACACTGCCTGACTGCACTGTAAAGATTCTTGGTCAGCGCATGTGCCTGGAGACCAGTTTTCATTGTTTTGACTTCAACTCTCAACTTATGTCCACTGAGTGAGGCTTCTTGTTTGTTTTGTTCACTAACTAAAACATTCACTCCTGAACAATCATCCAGAAGAATGTTGAAGTCATATTCATCGGGACAATAGAGTCTTGTGCCATCTGCGGTGCTCCCGAGCAGTTCCAGAGTGCCTCGATAAGTTCTGTCCTTAGATGAAACATTTTCTGTGATCTTCTGCAGTTCCTTCATCACCACGTCTCTTACCTCTTGTGCCTCACCTTTAGAATAATCAACATTAATTTTCTCTGTTTCTTCTATCATATTGTTCAAGTCAATACGACTGAGAACGTCAGTTGTTGCATCCGTTGGGTTATTCCATATTTGTACATCACTACCTTGTCTTGTTTTACCTGAAAATTTGTGGTACATTTTCAGGTACGAGTAGAAATGTCTACTGACCTCTCTTGGGGTAGTTCCAGCCCTACATGAAGGTTCTTGCTGCCTCATAAATCCTTCTAAAACCTGATAAGTTTGATCATGACCGAACATTGCTGCAAAGTGTAGTGGTGTTTGGCCATATCGGTCAGGTAGTAAAGGCTGAGCGCCAAGACTCAGGAGGAGAATGACACACTCAGACTTGCCATGAGAGGCAGCCTGGTGGAGGGCGGTGGTGTCGTTAGTAGCATCCAGCACTGTATCCACTGGAACACCTCCCTTCTTCACCAGGAGGTAGATCAGCTGCTGCAGCCCACCTTGTGAGGCCACCAGGAGGGCGTCGGCTCCTATGGACGACACGTGAGATCTTCTGGCTCTATTCTGCCTCACTCGACCCCTGGCCAAGTTGGTGGCGAAGAGAAGTTGCTGGACGTTAAGAACCTCCTGCAGCCGTTGTTCCTCGATAGTGTCTTTCTTCTTCTCCTTTATGTCCTCCAGCTGCTTCCTCTCCGCCTCGTATATTTTCTGTCAACAAATTATTTGTATAATTTTAGGAATGATAAGAAATTAGGTCAAATACGTTTAATAAATTTTTCGTCCCTAAATCACGGCTTCTCAATAATCCAACTTTGACAATGTTAATATTTTTCTTCACACCTTGACGAGGAGTAATGTTTTTAGTTGAGGGAAATTTGTCGGGGATAATTTGGGGGGTTAAATTTATTTAGTTTTATTTCTGTCCGTTCCTTGGTCGACCGAGATGGTCTTAGAGGGTGTGGTCGGGGAACTTTCTACTGAATGTTTTCTTTAGCTTTTTTTCTGAAGAAATATAAATAATGAAGAATGGCAACTCCGGTCAAGAACATTTTACTCGTAACTCGTGTTAAACACTGACCTCGTTTAGCTGGCAGTGGCGGTCTGGAGGCATCAAGTGTGTGGGCAGTCGACCTCTGGAGTCAGGCACATACAGGCAGCCTCCCATGTACTTGATCATCTGACCCGCCAGGTTCCAGTGCTCAGCGTCCAGAGCAGCGTGCACAGGAGTCACCTTAGACTGGCTACATAGGGAGGACTGAGCACCAGCTTGGTAGAGGAAGCTGCATGTCAAGGTACAGTTGACACGGGCGGCCTGGACCATAAGGTGAGTCAGGTCGACCACTGACTCAACACGGGGCCAGCTGGCTCGCCAGGGTGTGTCACCTTCCATACTCTTTATGAGGTGATCAACACCTGTCCTAAGGTGTGGCAGGCTACGTAAGATTGTTCTTTCTCTCTGTAGCACACGAAGGAACACCTGGAAGTGTATTAAACTATCATGAATATACAGTATTATAATAATGATAATAATGATGTTAATAAAGTGTGTGTGTGTGTGTGTGTGAGTGTGTGTGTGTGTGTGTGCGTGTGTGTGTGTGTGTGTGTGTGTGTGTGAGTGTGTGTGTGTGTGTGTGTGGGTGTGTGTGTGTGTGTGTGTGTGTGTGTGTGTGTGTGTTGTGAAGATAATAACAGGACTTGCGGTAAAAGTCTTCTACGGATTATACAGTGGAGAGGGGGAGATAATTCCTGTTAATTGTAAACATTCGTTATATTGTTGTTATAAAGGAACACTATAACATATATAAATGTTTATAACCTTAAAACATATATTAATGAACAAAAGTCAGCAGCAGGTATTAGGTGTTCTCACACTGAACATTACACACCAGGTAATACACGATGGATATACTGTACATAAAGGAGTAAGGGCAACACCTGTCACTACTACCTGGACGACATATACCTGTCTCTTATTAACACCTGGACGACATACACCTGTCTCTTATTAACACCTGGACGACATACACCTGTCTCATATTAACACCTGGACGACATACACCTGTCTCTTATTAACACCTGGACGACATACACCTGTCTCTTATTAACACCTGGACGACATACACCTGTCTCTTAGTAACACCTGGACGACATACACCTGTCTCTTATTAACACCTGGACGACATACACCTGTCTCTTATTAACACCTGGACGACATACACCTGTCTCTTATTAACACCTGGACGACATACACCTGTCTGTCATGAACACCTGGACGACACACACCTGTCTCTCATTAACATATACTTTAGGGTAATAATTATAGGGCGAGAATTACCTTAAGGATAATTGTATGTTGGTGTTGATATATAAATACAGTCGTCCTGTTATCGTCAGTGAGTGACGTCACTGTCCACTGAGGAACATACCTGCCTGCCTCTACACACAGTTCTTAACGAGCACAACCTGTGTGTCTGTTGTGTGTTCTTACCTGCGTATGTTAATATTCATGAGCCAGACACACCTGGTAATGATAGATGGAGATAAGGTGACCAGGTGTGACCTGACTAATATATCATCACCTGCAGGTACCTGTATATTGTACCAGGTAATTGTGCAATAATATATGACAGGTGTTAGTTATCCTCCTTAAAATGTGAAGAATTAGTGTGTTTGTTATTAATAATTATGATTATATTGTTAAGCTGATTCACCCCTGTGATGGTGACCTGAACACAAGAGTTATGTCTCCCTTATAGTGACCAAGAGGTGTATGGTGCTGACTCACCCCTGTGATGGTGACCTGAACACAAGAGTTATGTCTCCCTTATAGTGACCAAGAGGTGTATGGTGCTGACTCACCCCTGTAATGGTGACCTGAACACAAGAGTTATGTCTCCCTTATAGTGACCAAGAGGTGTATTGTGCTGACACACCCTTGGGATGGTGACCTGAACACAAGAGTTAGGTCTCCCTTATAGTGACCAACAGGAGTATGGTGTTGACTCACCACTGTGATGGTGACCTGAACACGAGAGTTAGGTCTCCCCTATAGTGACCAACAGGTGTATGGTGTTGACTCACCCCTGTGATGGTGACCTGAACACGAGGAGTAACGTCAGGAGAGCACCAGGCCACCGTCAGCAGGTTAAGGCCGTGGGTGGTGATGGAGAGCGCCCCAGCTGCCACCAGGAGGCTGACGATCCTGGTCCGGTTACTGGTGGTGGCCAGGGGGTGCACGGACCAGTCGCCCACAGGCTCCAGGGCGCCCCTGAACACAGGAGATTACATGAGCCCACCTGACGTCATCACCTGGCTGATGACACTCAGCAGCTGCTCGTACAGCTGCTGTGGTGACATCTGAACCTGGAAAACAATACTGCTATTATAATGGTCTTGGTGTACTGCTGTTCCTACACTCCAGGGAGGCACTGCTGTACAGCTGTTCCTAAGACCCAGCACTCCAGTAAGGACACTACTGTACAGGTGCTCAAGAGGTGTTACATAGGTGTTGTACAGGTGTTGTAGATGCTGTACAGCTGTTCCTATAACACAACACTTCAGGAAGGACATTGCTTTGAACTGCTGAACAGATGCTGTGCAAGTGTTTCTAGGGCACATGGACTGCTAGGTACAGTGTACTGTACAGGTAAGGTGTTCCTAACACAGTAAGGACAACGCTGTACAGGTGCTGTACAGGTGTTCCTAAGACACACCTGTAATAAACCAATATACTTTACTCACCTAATGTCACAAAGTTTGCCAGAAGGCAGCGGGATGACCCTTGTCAATTGCTCTTATTCTCTTCTTATTGTCTCTTATGTCTCACATCTTCTCTTCCAATAATTTATCTTACATTTATATCATCTACTTTTATCACTTATTTTATCACCAACATTTTCTACACCGAACATCACAACTGAACTGTTATTACCTGTGGCTGGTGACGGTGAAGAATGTCGAGTACCTGGTGATGACCCTCCCGTTGTGCCAGGTCACTAGGAGTGTCACCAGCCCAGGTCACGGCGTGTGGGTATACCTCACAGCTCTCCAGGAGGACACTCACCACACGGGTCAGGCCGAGCTGGGCAGCGTGGTGCAGTAGAGTCATGCCAGCGTCGTCCTGCAGGTGACCGTCCACCACGAGGGGGATACATCCTCTAATACTGCCAAGGTCTTCCTCCCTCATGCACCGTAACATCTTCTCATACCATCCTTCACACTCCCACCGGCATCGTCTCTGTGAACAACATCAACAACATCAACAGTCAACATATTTTCTCTTAACGCTATAAACAATAAACACATTTACATCACGTGACCTTAGTGACGTAAGAAACTATAATAAAATATTGATAAGTTTAAACAAGGAAGGAAGATGAGTGTGAGGCTGAGTTAAATATGGCTCATCACACTAAGTTGTGCTGTGGATCACTGAACAACACTGTTCCTGCACACTATTAGTGACCTGGTGTTAACTAATTACTTAGTTATTATTATTATTATTATTATTATTATTATTATTATTATTATTATTATTATTATTAATATTATTATTAATATTATTATTATATTATTATTATTATTATTATTATTTATTATCATTATTTTTATTATTATATTAACCTTCCTGCCTTATATAGATGTACATGAAAATAAATATACATACATACATACATACACACACACACACACACACACACACACACACACACACACACACACAGGGTACATTTTCACATTAATATAACATATACTACAACTCAGAAGTTACAGTTTTAACTATAGCAGGTACAGTAAGTTACAGTTTTGAAGGTGGTGTAAATGTAACAGTTGGAGGTACAAATATCACAGTAGGAGGTACAAATATCACAGTAGGAGGTACAAATATCACAGTATGAGGTACAAATATCGCAGTAGGAGGTACAAATATCACAGTAGGGGGTACAAATATCACAGTAGGAGGTACAAATATCACAGTAGGAGGTACAAATATCAAGTAGGTAGGAGGTACAAACATGACAGTATAAGGTACAAATATCACAGTAGGAGGTACAAATATCACAGTAGGGTACATATATCACAGTAAGAGGTACAAATATCACATTAGGAGGTACAAAATATCAGTATGAGGTACAAATATCGTATGGTAGGAGTACAAACATGACAGTAGAGGCATATATCACAGTAGGAGGTACAAATATGACATATGAGGTACAAATATATCACAGTAGGAGGTACAAACATCAAGTAGGGGGTACAAATATCACAGTAGGAGGTACAAACATCACAGTAGGGGGTACAAATATCACAGTAGGAGGTCCAGATATGATAGTCGGAGTAGATATTTCACGTTACACTACTGCAACAATAATATCACTGACGGAAGTAAGAACACTGTGGACGTAACTCACACTACCAATAATAACTAAGAGAGCGCTGCTGACAGACGGGTGCTGATACAGTACTTCCACGACAGCACTTACCTCTATCTGTCTCCTGGGTGTCTCCTCAACGGCGTGTGGCTGCTTCCTCAGCCACCACGCAAGAAGGTGATGACCCTCCAGCCTTGCCTTGTCTATAGGTGTCAGCCCCAATGAGTTCTTGGCATTAAGGTTGAGGCCGACCTCCAACAGACACTGAGCTGCCTCCATACCTCCGCCTAGTGCTGCGAAGTGTAGTGCTGTGTCGTTATATTTATTTACTGCGTGGAGGTCACAGCGGTCATCAGTCACTAAGTCTTTCACAACACCTGAGTGGTTAGTGAGGGCAGCAAGGTGCAGGGTTGTGAGACCTGTATGATCCCGGGCGTTAGGGTCAGCTCCGGCACTAAGGAGTGTCCTCACACAACACCGGTGACCCTCCTGTGCTGCCTCATGTAGGGCGGTGTATCCTGTACCACAACCCAGCTGGTGTTAGACTGATATAATAAATGTTGACATAAGACCTGACTAATATTGTTAGAATATTTACTCGGCTTCATTTAAACATTTATTAAGAAGTTTA